GCACAGCACAAATATTGAGAGTATCAATGCGAAATTGAAACTTAGACACAAACAAAAGGTGTACGCAAATTGTTCTTAATACCGCAATCCGTTTAATTGTATAAATAGATAAACATAAAGATAAATATAAATATAAATACATACATATATGTAGACGCCAGTCAATTTTTGAACTCGAAACTCAAGCTAAAATACGATATACTTGGCATACATTTATGATTGTATGCGCACTCGGTAAATAAATAATAAATATGTATGTATGTTTATGAGTAATATCCGATCGGTTCCACACACACACACACACACACACACCTCTTCTACATATTGTAGTTGTTGCAAAGAAGTTTACTTTACCTCCGTGTGTACGTCTGTGAACAAAGCAAACTTTGGTACGAACTTTATGTATGTAGGTACGAGTATACTTGAACATAATGGCAAATATTTATACAATATGCAACTATTAATGATGTGTAACTACAACTGAATTGCTTAGCGTTACAATGTTTAGGAGCCGCCACCGCCATCTCATTGTTTTTGGCTTTCTCAAGATCAAATTCGAAATGTAATCTCAAATCAATACGTATACAATAAAAATGTATATTTTTCTAGTTAATCTGCCGACGCTCGCTTGAAAATCAAAATCCAGACAACTTTACGAATAGCGATTCCTTTTGTTTTTGTAACAAATTAATTGTGTATATTTCATAATCATTTCGTTGTTGATTGTTTCTGTTCCTAAGAATTATTCACCTTTATTTACAATACCTAAATATTTAAGACTTGCAATTGAATCAAAAATAAATCACACAATTCGGAATTACTCTGAACATCGATTATAAACTTATTTGTCTTGAGGATTTAAACGGAAAGCTATTTGATTCTGTTGTTCCTGTATCTTTACTTCTGTGGAACAATAAAATGTCTTTGCATATATTTTATGCACAGAAGAAATGAACTTTTCCCCAAATATGCACCTCGTAATGTAAATTCAAAATGATTTAAATATATTTTATTTTATATTTTGTTATTTATTTATTTATATTTGGTTTTCAATTGCTGTTGAATATTGAACCATAGATATATATACGTCTATGTAGATATCCCGGGAGGATTATCCCTGATTACGGCGCTGGTTCAAGATCCGCGACAACACACGGTTACCACTGCGAACCCTCACGATCCGTCTGCCCAAACGACTCCTGTTGCGAAGGCTACTCACAGTGCTGCTCCTGTAAACCCTGATCCTCCGATTGGACGAAAATTTCAGGTTGCTTATACGGATTTTCTTGCGACGCACCGTAGATGTAGCAGCGGTTGTTGCCGCTGTTGTTGTAGTTGTCGTTGCTGCTGCAGTCGTAGTTGTGGCCGCTACAGTTGTGGCCGTGGCAGCACTCGTTGTCGAGCTGCCGGTTGCGTTCGTCATCCAAATACAAAGGCTCACAGCCAGGAGTCCCAATGCCAGTTTTACCGTAGTCATGACGATGCTTGCTTCTCTTCTCGAATGTCATGCCCCTTGGCCGTGAGCCTTTTTATATTCCTCGAAGACAATCGGAGTTGCTTAGCAAATATTTGAGTTATGTGTTCGCCAATTACGTACTTTGGATATGTACTTTGACTATGTACTTTAACAATGTACTTTGACTATATGCTTTTACCATGCACGGGAATTTCTGCGCGAATATTTTTGGCATATTTGCGCAGTCTGGAAGTTACACAATAGAATTTTGCAAAACGGATGATATAAAATTATATGCTAAATGCTGGAGGCTGTCTATAAATAAACCTTCGCCGCACAAGAGTGGAATCATAGCTGGCGGGATCAGGTCTAGAAGGTGGAGATGGATGGATGGGCCTGTAGTTTGAAGACGTCAAAATCGACATAAGAAAGCGCTTCGGACACACTGTCTTTCACTATCCACAATTTCAAAGCAAAGCAACCAAAGTGGTCATCAAATCGCGCAGGAACCCGAAAATCGTTGCGATCAAATTATTATTAGAAGCACTTTGCCTCAGCAAAAGTCTCAGACTAATTTTCGTGTCAATTCAAACGATTTTTTTTGCTTTCGTAGATGAATACATAGATATGTTTTGTGAATTTGTGCCTGTTTGTGATCCTCGGCAGCACCCGTGCACGAATACGATTCCGTACCCTTGCCAGGACCCTGCTTCGCTTGTGCGCCTGTAGGCCCGTATTCTCCGGTTTGATCCGAATCTCAGGTTTCTCACACGGATCCTCTTGCGTCGAACCGTAGATGCCGTTGTGCTTGTGGTTGTTGTTGTTGTTGTGGTCGCCTCCGTCGTTGTAGTTGTCGCCGCAACGGTGGTGGTTGTAGCGGAGCTCGATGTTGTTGTTGTGGATGCAGGAGCGCTAGTTGTCGCAGTCGTCAGCCATATACACAGACACCCAGCCAGCAGTCCCACTGCCAGTTGTTCCGTCCTCATGGTGACGCTTCTTTCTGTTCTAATCTAATGTCTATCCCCATGGCCGTGAGCCGTTTTATATTGGAATTCAAAGACAATTGGATGATTTGCTTGGTAAATATTAGAGTTATGTTTTCGCCAATTATGTGCCTCGACTAAGCGCGGCTATTTGAACAAGTAAATATATTTTGGCCATACATACTGCCATCGTATTTGCGCAGTCTGCTGGAATAAGCGGAAATTTCTGAACTTGCTGCAAAGCGGCAAAACTATTAAATTAGATATTAAATGATGCGCCCTATTTTTACGATGCTTGGTCTAAAATTAATCAGTCGGACAAGTCGAGAGTGTCGCCAGCAGACGTTAACCCGGCTGCCGGCTGCCGGCTCCCTGCTCCTCCTGGGCAAACATCCATCAGCGGATACCAGCGTCGACCTCGTGCCCTGTTGCACGTTGTCACATAAAACACTGCATAATCAAATATTTGCCCAGGTCCAACTCTCACTCGACTCTGGTCTGACTCGCTTATTTGCCTGCGCCTGACATATTGGCCATGGGATTGAGACTGGAGCTGGGACTGGGACTGACTGACAACTGATGCTGACGCTGACGCTGACGCCGATGCCGATACCGATACCTTACGCTTTTGGATTGCGTGGTTACGGTCTCCCGCTGAGGTTTACCTAAGCTGTTTCCCCAGTACTGGCGGGCCTATATAAGTCGAGGACTTCCTCGGAATTGCTCATTCGAAAGTTGCAGCTCTCTCGTACGCTGCTTCAGTTCTGTTTCCGGTTCCTGTTCCTCATTGCCCTGGCAATGGCTCGATACGCCTTGACTCTGGCGCTGCTCATCGTGACAGTTTGCTCCCGCTGCGAACTATCCCGGAGCATGGCCCTGCCGGACGAGGAGCGTTACGTGCGCAAGGAGTACAATCGGGATCTACTGGACTGGTTCAACACTGTCGGACAGCTGGCGCCCAACCAGGCTGTCCCTCTCTGCCTATACCCATACATTATGGACAACTCCCTGTCCATTCCCACCAGGAAGAGAAACTCGGAGATCATCAACTCGCTCCTCAGTCTCCCCAAGAACATGAACGAAGCGGGGTAGTGCGAGTTGAAGTGTGGGCTTGACGCAATGACTGGATAAACGGATATGCAAACACACGCTGGCACCAACGGACAACCCTAATCGATCTACTTAGTATGTAAGATGTTTGAGTAGTTTTGCTGTTTGTGCTTGTATTTTTAGGGGCAGCGTTTTAAGGACCTTTCATACATACTTATAAGCGATGTATATTTAGAAATTTGTTGCTTGCTTTGATCGATACGGAACTGAGGAGTAACTAACTATCCAACCATATTGTTCTCTGTATTCGTATATACGAATATACTCGTACTTATTCGTGTAGAAAATATAATTCATAATCGTAGAACAAATATATCTAGCTAAACTCGTAGGTGAACAAGAATCGACATATCTTTTTTAATATTTCATAGAATCACTCTGTGGATTAAGTTGAGATTACGAGTATATTCGCATTGTTGCGTCTCCTGTGGACAGTCTTAACCTGCTTGTTGTTCACATGTTTTGTCACATGCTTTGTACGCACAATTGTCGGACTGGCTGTGGTTGTTGTTGTTGTGGTTGTCGTGTCCTGAGCAGAAGAGGACTGAAGCAGGCAGAGACTGGCCAACAGGAATACTCCCAGCAGATAGATATTGAACTTCATCTTTGCGACTCGAAACACCAGCTGTCTGGAATTCGATTGGAGTCTGTCCTTATATACCCGTACTTTCCGTGAACTTGACAATAGAACCGTTGATGATAAGCAAACAAGTACGAAAATGTGCACCAAATTTCGCTCATTTCTTGTGTCAACATACATATTTGTCTAATAAATAGCTAAGCAGAGATGAAAAGAGAAACAGATTGTCTTCGTTCAAATGACGGCAATATATGTTTTAATATATTTAATTATAGGCTAGACAACTATGTTAATCAATGTTGCGGAGTTGTATTTTAATCGAACAATTCTTCGCTTGTCGATGGTTAAGTTCATTTGGCGCTGTCTGAAATCGTTTAGTTTAGTCGTAATGATCCTACATATAACTATTTTCGCATGCTCTGCGGCTGTAACGCACTTATTCAAAGTTGGGACAAGCGAAGGGTTAGAAGATACAAGTTATTCTACATTTATATATTTAATTAAAAAACAAACAATCTGTTAGACAATGCTGCAACTATCCCTTGGGCTCAAAATGCAATTCAGTAGCTTTTCACTTACATAACTAATGCCTGCTAATGCGTAAATACTATCTAACTGGCTGTAACCCTGCCTTGGCTAACCATTAACTTTTGTTATTTTAAGGTATATCGTATGGTATGTGGCTGCAACAGAGACGACTCGTCCGCGTCCCCAGCACACTCATGACTAAGTCGCATGCCCCAAAACACGAACCGAACGCCGAGCTGTCAATCTGCGGGAATAAGATATCGTTAAATAGGGTTCTACAAATTGATATGAAATGGGCACACTCACACATATGTCGATATAATATAAAGCTTTAGCTGATTCCACAGCTTTTGGATATTTGGAAACACACACACACATACACACAGACACGTACAATGGCATTGACTTTTTGCTTGCTAATTCCCAAAACGGACCCTCCTCTTTTCTCCACGATGATGCGGTTGCTGTTGGTTGATCTCACATGAAAAACTCATTGGCTGAATGGGAAAGCGGAAGTCACGTTCGCCCAGGACGATCGAATATTGTAATCTCTATGACGCGGAGACCCCGAAAGGTTGGATCGATCAGCTGCAGTCCCTTCTGATGGTAAATGCGCTCATTCTGGGAAGCCACAAATTTAGATATCTTACGAAGGGTCTAAGGGAGATTCAAACATTAATTCGGGACTTGCAAAGGCATTCGAGTATCAACCTTCTCGTAGTGCGTTTCGGAGCACATGTAGATCAAGTATGCTGTGATGCAGCCTATACAGCCTTCACAGTAGGTGCCGCAGGAGCCCTCCTCCGCCTCGGCATAAAATTCGTTTAGCCTATTGATGGTAGACTCGAAGACGTGTCGTTCAATCTGCAGATAGGGGGAAAATGTATTTCTAGGCAGCATTATTAAGTTCAGTTATACGTACAATACCCTCCAGTTCTGTGGGAAGCCTCGTGTGAAATTTGACGGAGGTGCCGACGCTGTAGTCGCGCTGTATAAAGACCTTGCTGAAGACCACGCCCCCGCCAGTTGCCTGTAGTGCGGCCGCGTTGCTGCCCGCTGGTGTGCCACCGCCCTGCGACATGGTGCCTCTGAAAATTGTAACGATTGCATAAACCAACTCTTTCTGCAGAGCGCGGTACATCTGATTGAGCGCAATCATTTTGCCACAACTTCAGACAACGAAATCCCATCACAATCACAGCTGCCTTGCTTTTTCCAGTCCAGGCACACTCGAACATGTCCAGGATCTTGGCATTTCGCAGGGCCTGCTTGTGTCTCACCTGAGTATTGAGTGGAAGGAAGGCTTTAAGTGCTCCTAGCAGTTGATTTAGCTGCGTCTTTAAGCTTAAAATTGTAAAAAAGCTAAAGTTTGCAAATTGCTAATTCTTGCAGTGGAAATCAGTGTGACTGCGGATTTGTTGATCAAATATACGACCTGACCTTCCGAAATATACCTCCTAATTTTCCAAATATACCGTAAATATACCGAATTGTAAATCATATATTACTCGACTTGGATATTTAATAATTCCAGCTTATTAGGACTCTTAGCCCAGAATCTATAATTCTCCATATTCTCTATAATTCCATCCTCAATCTCGATACATTTTTGTATTGATTGGGGAGATTAGCCTGACATTCACAGACTTTGAGATTTTGTTTAAAATTAGCAGCCTTGGTAACCAACGATAAAACTAGCTGCGGGCACATAAATACCGTGGTATATATCAGTGTGACAGCGGAATTATCGATAAAATATACCGTGAGAGCCTCAAAAATATACCTGAATATAGTTTTCAATTTTTTAAATATACCGTGAATCTAAAATAATTTTC